GAGAAGGGGGGGGGGGGACGGAGCTAAGCATGGCCACAAAAAATGCATTCCAAAGGGCACGTGGCCGTACAGCCAGGCCCATCTGGACTGGGCACTTGTGCATCGCCCATAACCTGCATAAAATTGCACTGGGAGTGATTCCACGGGCCAGCCTTGCCCAGTGTGTTAGAAATGGCTGCCCAATGCGTCTCTGCATGACTTGCCTTCTTCCAATCAGCAGGCAATGCCTGGTCAGTGTTGTTCTGAAGGCAAGTCATTTTTAAGTCCTCTGTACTGAAAAGGGGTGAGTGGGTGAGAAATGCCATGTCCATTTCCTTTAAAAAAAAATTTGTTAAAAAAAAAAAATTTGTTGCGAAGTCGCAGCTGACTGATGGCGATCTCTGGAGGGTTTTCAAGGCAAGAGACGTTCAGAGGTGCTTTGCCATGGCCCGCCTCTACATCGTGACCTTGGTATTCCCCCACCCAAATACTGACCAGGGCTGATCCTGCTGAGCTGAGATCTGACAAGACTGCTGCATTTTCACTACAGCAATCTAAATCCCCTCCCCCAGCTAATTTCTACAACCCATATAAATTACACCAAGAAGCAGGGCTATTTTTGGGCAGGAACGCACAGGAACGGAGTTCCGGCTGGCTCCCAAGTTGGCCACGCCCAGCTGGAACTCATTAGCATAATAAGCCACACCCAACAGCAGACACTCATTAGGATTGGCTACAATTAGGGGTGTGTGGCCTAACATACAAAGGAGAGTTCCTGCTCCAAAAAAAGGCCCTGGGTTTTGACCACAAACAAGGTAAACAGAATAAGAAGCAAAAGGTGGGTGCGGCTGGGTGACCACACTTCTGGTAACACGGGGGTGTGGCCTAATATGCGAATGAGCTGTGCTGTCAGGGGCGTGGCCTAATATGCTAATTAGTTTCTGCTGTTGGGTATGGCCTATTATGCTAATGAGTTCCTGCTGGGCTTTTTCTACAAAAAAAGCCCTGCTAAGAAGCATTTATTTATTCTGCTTGTGAGTCCTGGGAAATGGGAAAGGAAGATCTGAAAGCCTTCCCCCCCTTCTCTGCCTTCACTGGGCGTAGAGATACCCTCAAGCCTCTCTTTGCAGCCTTCTTGTTGCTGTTGTTCAGTTGCAGAGTCGAGTCCGACTCTTTGCAACCCCCTGGACCACATCACTCCAGGCCCTCCTGTCTTCCGCCGTCCTCTGAAGTTGGCTCAACTTCATGTTCGTTGCATCTATGACACTGTCTAACCATCTCATCCTTTGCCGTCCCCGTCTTCTTTGACCTTCAATCTTTCCCAGCATCAGGGTCTTCTCCAGTGAGTGCTCCCTTCTCATTGGGTGGCCAAAGTACTTGAGCTTCAGTTTCATTATCTGGCCTTCCAGGGAACAGTCAGGGTTGATTTCTTCTAGGATTGACTGATTTGATCTCCCTGCAGTCCAAGGGACTCTCAAGAGTCTCCTAGCCAGCTGTTATTTTGGACTGGGATGGGTCAGTTTCAAGACCATTTGTCAAAGGGCCCTTCTAAAGGAGACCAGGGATTCAATCCACAATGGGGCCTTCTGCTTCAGATTGTACAGCCCAACAGCTGCTGCAGAGCTCAAGCCAGCAATCCTGAAAACCAGGTGCCAATCCCCTGCACAATGCAGGATTCTGACCAGAGGAGGAGACTTGCTGGCATCTCCCAGATTCCTTTTTGCCCAGGAAATGGGGTGCCAACCCCATGCCCCCAGGTCCTCCTTCTGTACTGCCAGTCCTTCTTGCCCCTGACCCGAATCCCACCTACTGTCTCCTACCAGATTTTGAGTCCACGTGGAAAGATGTGGATCATGGACAGGCACGACAGGATGGCAGCTGTCTTGCAAATAAGAGCAAAGAGGCCTTGCATTCTGGCAACCTCGCTGTTTTAAGCGTCCCGCAGAAAGCTGAATTCAGTGCAACGGCGTTCTTACCTGTTGGATGTAATGCCCTTGCACGGAGGTCATACCGACGGCTGGACCGGTGGGCTTCCCACTTGGGCTGGCAGAACTAGGCCTGGAAGGTCAACAGATTGAGAATTCAGACGGGGAGGCTCCAATAAGCAACGTCTGAATCATGAACATATATGAGCTCAGTAAGGGCACCTGCAAATAACGGCACCTTCAGACGCTGTGAGTAAGTAATCACGAAGGCACTGGGCTTTGAGTGAGAATCTTTACTCCCACAGTACACTTATTAACACCTTTGTCACTTCTTGGGGAGTTAGATGGGGCCCCTTACTATTCAGAGTTCAAATACAAATTAATATTAGCCCTATTTCCATTTTTATATAGGTAATACTGTGAGGGGCCTTGACGGCTACTTTCGACCTGTCTGTCCTCTGCAAACTTCCAATACAAGGCCGGCTCAACATCCCCACGAGCTGAACCCAGCGACACCGGAGAGACCCAGCAGCTATCTCGCTTCTTCTTTTTTGCTAAATATTTCCCAGTCTGTAGGGAGAGCTGGGCCCTGTCAGCTGCCTATACCAGAGGAACAGACCAAGAGGAACCTGGGATCATCCCCTGTAGAAACATGGACCAGTTAGCTACCTCCTGGTCCAACCCTCACCCATTTCCCCCATTCTATAAAAGAATCTGCCTTAGGCAGATATGCCAACGGCCCGGGGAAGAAAATGTCCTGTCCGTGTATTATGTCTCTTGTTAAAGGGATGGGACATTTTTCTCCAGGCTGCTGGCAACCACAATTCTGCTACCTAGTGGATAGGGAGCACCCCTTTGGCCTAGACCACTGGGGGGGGTAGAGGGGGGGGAAAGCCAAGTAAGAAGAGGCGCCTCCTTAGAGATCTAGGGGTGGATGGTAAAAAGGAACACTTACCGCTGAATTATGCCAAGATCAAGATTACTTTGTTCACCAAAAGATACACAAGTGGAATACAGAGAACAGGCGAAGGACCTTGTGGAGAAATGTGTTTTAATTTGGAGGTCTGGGCTGTACAAAACCTTTACAGTTAAGTTTTAAAAAGCTTTTCTTAGCAGAGAACAGGCGCCGGGGGGGGGGGGGGGGGGAGGACTGCACCCAAAATGCTTTAGGAATGGCTAATGGCTTTCCTGGCCGAGACAAGGGAAGGTCAGCTCACGCCGCCAGCCGGAAGCTGAAACCTAGCAGGGGCACGGAGACGTGGGGGTGAATAAACTGAGATATTAAAATCCCTTGGCATGGGGTGTGTGTGCGCGTCTCTTTGAATGACTCCATCTGCTACGGAGCAGCAGTTCTGCCACAGGGAGCAGGCAAAGGGCTGGCTGCCGGAACAGAGGCACCACGATAATGGGGATGGTGCATTTACCCCTTTCTTCTGCATGCCTCCATCAGGTCTTGACAAATTCTGAGAAGACAGATTCAGGTGGGTCACCGTGTCGGTCTGAAGCAGCAGGACGGAGCTTGAGTCCGGGGGGCCCTTTCAGAGCAACAAGGTTTTTTATTCAGGGTATAAGCTTTCGTGTGCCCGTGTACTTCTTCAGACACCAAAGTGTGCACACACAAGGAGGCTCGTACCTGGAATAAAACTTTGTTGCTCTCATACCTGGGCTCAAACTTTGTTCAAATTCTGAGAGACTGTGACTGACCCAAAGACCCCCGGCAGTTTCACGGCAGAGCGGGGATCTGTGGTAGAGGGGACTGGATGAACGGTGCTAGCGGGAGACTGACTTAAAGCGGCGTTTCCCAACCTGGGGGACTCGGCACCCCAAAGTGGGCCACAAAGTGTCTGCCCCTCAAAAATGGCCGCCCCAATGTTCCCTCTAAGCTGTGGAGTCTTGTGAGCAAAAATTATATTTTGTGAGCTACTGGCATTAAAGTTGTGAGCGAGCAGTTTGGCCACTGCATAAATGAGTCTGCTCTGGAGCCATCCCTTCCTGAGCGAAGACGAAAATGTGTGAGCCGGAGGCTAAAAAACTGTGAGCTAGCTCACCCTAACTCAGCTAAGAGGGAACATTGCCCCTGCCCTTCCCCTTGCTCTCTTTTGTATCTTGGGGAGCAAGCTCTGACCCCGGAAACAGGACCTTTCATTCCCCCCACTTCACTGCACATCCGTGTCGATCGAGTGAAATGTGTCCCGATGGTCGCTAGAATGTGCGAGAACCTCAGGGGGGAATTGGAAGGACTCATGGAGGAGGAGTGGGTGGTCAAAGGTGGGAATGCAGCCTCCAAGTGCAACGGCTGTGTGTGTTGGAATGCCACTTGCTTGGGGTTCGTGTAGCAGGCCTGTAGCTACAGTGGGGCATTTGGGGGCCCTGCCCCCTTAATTAAAAGCCACGCCCCCCACAAACAGCCATGCTGGAAACCTTATTTTTGAGGAGAGAGAGACACACACACACACCGGCTGCCAGGGCGGGGGCACCGTGACTTGCCTGCAGGCCTCCCTCTCCCTCCCACTGTGGAATTTGGGGGTGGGGCATCATGGGACCCAGGAAAAGGCAGCTCAGAGGGCATCTAATTGCCTTCAGAAGGCATTTAAATGCCTTTTGAGTTCCCTTCCACCGGCCAAGAAAGCTCAGAATTTGCATGTTTCCCGAAGGTTCATGGGAATGCTTTGGAAAGACCCACCATGACCTAGGTGCTATACAGCAGGACTGGGCTAGCAGAAAGGGGGGGGGGTCTGTTGGAGATGTACTGAAGGTGCCACTCTAGAGTGGAGGACGAGGAGATTGGATTTATACCCGGCCCTTCACTTGGAGTCTCAGAGCGGCTTACAAACTCCTTCCCCTCCCCACAACAGACACCCTGTGAGGTGGGTGGGGCTGAGAGAGCTCTGACACAAACGGCTCTTTTTCAAGGACAGCTGTGCCAGAGCCTGTGACTGACCCAAGGTCACATCAGCAGGTGCAAGTGGAGGAGTGGGGAATCAAACCCGGTTCTCCCAGATTAGAGTCCACGCACTTAACCACTACACCAAACTGGCGCACTTAACCACTACACCAAAGTGCCCCTCTAGGCTTTCTTGCCCTGTGGAAGGGAACTTTAAATGCCTTCTGAAGGCAACATTTAAATGCCTTCTGAAGGCAATTCAAATATTCTCTGAGCTGTTCCCCCCCCCCAAGGAACTAGCATGTTTGCTGCCCTGTCCCACGAAAGGAAGGGCTAGAAACAGGCATTCAGATTAATTTAATTAACTGTAATTTGACTGCCCCCTTGAAAATTTAAAGGCCCCTCCCCCGGAACAAAAAACACTGGCTACGGGCCTGGTTCACAGTGAGAAAAAACGGCGTCCTTTGTTGGTTTCTCAAAAACACCTGGTTGGCCACTGTAGGAAATGGGAGTGCGGGACCAAGCGGGTGCCAAGGTCAAAGGCTGCCTAGGGCACCAAAAAACAACAGCCCATCCCTGGGCCAGCCCTGGATGGGTCACCATGCTAAGTATATTTTGACTGGTAGGTCAGCATAACCAAAAAGGTTGGGAACTGCTGGTCTAAAGGACCTGAGGGGGGGTGTCTGTTGAGAGGTCGCCCTTCGCCGTGAACGAGTACCACTCTCTCAGAGACCGTCCGGCATGAAGAACAGAGACTGTACCTGGAGAGGAGTGACACCCCCATTCTGGTATGGAGACCCCGCTTTTCCAGTCCCCGCTGACACCACCATTGCTGGAGAGGACAACAGCCTCCCCACCCCCAAACCCCTGAGCCAGAAAGACCTACGGTGTATGCACCAACTTGACCAAGCATAACTCTACTGGAATGGCCCCCAAACAGGAGACCAGCCTGACCTTCGTGGAATGGTCCACAGGACACAAAGGAACACCCTTCTCCATTGTGGCTGGTCTCAAGCAAACATTTGGGGCTACTGGATTAAATTCTAGCCCTGGGTATCGTCCCGTGATTCTTCCAAACGTTAAGTTACTTCCAGCTGTAAGTGATTGTCTCCTTTCCCACAGTGCAATAAAAGAGCTGCGGTTTAAACTTGGGAGAGGTGAGACCACTGCCTCGTGAACAGGATCAGACACTCAGAGACAGCTCTTCTGGTGGCCATGCAGACACCTGACACTGTAGAGCTGAAATGGACAGGAGGCGCCAGCCGGGGAGGAAAATCCTTGAGACAGTATTGCAAAATAGGAAGAGACAAAATTAAACTTACATTTCCCAGATACGTATTCAAAAGGAGGCCCCCGGGAAGCGTACATGAGTGTCAAACTCGAAACTGGAAGAGCCAGGTTCGATTCCCCACTCATACCATGGAAGCTCACTGGGTTTGGGCCAGTCACGCTCTCTCAGTCTAACCTACTTCACAGGGTTGTTGTAAGGATAAAATGGAAGTGAGGAGAATGATGGTAGCAGCTGTGGGTCCACTTTCAGGAGAAAGGTAGAGGAGGAGGAGGAGGAGAGGAAAAGGAGAAGATTGGATTTATACCCCGCCTTTCACTCGGAATCTCAGAGCGGCTTACAAACTCTTTTCCCTTCCCCCTCCCCACAACAGACACCCTGTGAGGTAGGTGGGGCTGAGAGAGCTCTTTCGAGAACTGCCCTTGAGAGAGCAGCTCTGACAGAACTATGGCTTGCCCAAGGTTATCCAGCAGCCGCAAGTGGAGGAGTGGGGAATCCAACCCGGTTCTCCCAGATCAGAGTCCGCGGACTTGACCACTACACCAAACTGGCACAAATGTACCGCCACAAAAAATCCATCCCTAAGTCCACCAAAAGGACAGTCAAAAGACGGGCATGTGGTATACTGTCCTGCTTCCAAAAGTATCCTTGTCAGATAACTAAATCTTCAACTGGTAAATTATAATACTTATAGTGGTTCATAAGATCCGTAATGTAAAGTTAGAGCTAGATCCCAAATGGCTACTATTGGATTCACCTTCTCATAAGGATACTGAGACACCAAAGCTGAAGCTCATTTCAGCTTTATTAGCGACAGCAAGTTTGTGTACTGCAGCAAACTGGAAGAAGGATAAACCTCCAAGTTTAACACTGTGGAAGGTTAAAACTTGGGATCTGATGGTTATGGGGAAGATCCCTTTAACGGTTAACCCTACAGGTTCGGATTCTAAGTCACCTCAAGTTTTGGACAAGTGCGATGCCTCTTATTTCTTATTTGGAGGGAACGAAATGTCATAAAGGTGGGGAGAGGTCCCCCCCCCCAATTTTTGCATGGTTGTTAAATGTGTATCTCCTGCAATAGCGTATTGTATTTTTTTGCTTGTTTTATAATTAAATTGGGTTTTTTTTAATTGTAAACAAAAAAAGTGGGAAATTATCATGATTTTCTGTGTGTATTTAGTACATGCGAGTGTAATTGCCTCTCAATAATCATGTTTCCTATTTTGCAATACTGTCATACAGATTTCCTTCATCAGCTGATGTGATGTGTCCTGTCTGTTACAGCTACACAGTGTGGTGCTTTTTAGTATTTTCCTCTTTCTGTTTGTACACATTGAGTTCCATAAGGTGTTAAGGCAGAAGCATTACACACCTGTAAGCATGCGGTGACGGTATGGATCCTCCAGGAGGCATGTTCTGTTTACCATCGGTGAAATGGAACCCTTTCATTTCCACGTGAGAGGACTGGGGAAAGCAAGCAAGCAAGGAAGTGGATTATTTCCTTCCAATTTTACACCAGAGGGCCACCCACAGAGAACATCCCTCTGCATTCAGGCCTGTCCCAGACTTGAGGAAAAAGCCTGCTCTGGCATTAATTTTTGTCCCCTCTTGCCATAAGCTGCTTTGAAAACACAACCGAGAAGCACCAGGCTCACTTTGAAATAAGTACATAATAGTTGCTGTAGATTTTCTGGGTTGTGTGGTCTTGGCATTGTAGAACCTGACATTTCGCCAGTAGCTGTGACTGGCATCCTCAGAGGCATAACACAGAAAGATGGAGTCCTCTCTGTGTCAAGGTGAGAAGAAGATTGGCTGTTGAAATTCTAATTTTATCTGTAGTGCTACTGTCAGATGTAGAGCCTTTTGTGTTTTTCAGGACAGGAAACCATGCCCTATTTATTTTTAAACTCTCTTCTTTCCTGTAGAAATTGTGTTTATGTTTATGAATTTCAGTGGCTTCCCTACATAATCTGACATGGTAATTGGAAGTGTTGTCCAGCCTTTCAGTGTCTTGGAACAAAATACTGTTTCCTCAGGAAAGATCCTGCATTAGCATGTTCATAGCCTGGGGAATCCTACAAGATAATGACTCAGCCCTACCTCAACTTCTGGAGTAGATATAAATTACCTGCCTACCATTTTTCTTCTCACCTTGACACAGAGAGGACTCCATCTTTCTGTGTTATACCTCTGAGGTTGCCAGTCACAGCTACGGGCGAAACGTCAGGTTCTGCAGTGCCAAGACCACGGCCACACATCCCAGAAAATCTACAGCAACTAATGAACTCTGGCCGTGAGAGCCTCCGACAACATAAGGTACATAGTAATTCAGCAAACAAGCAAGCAAGCCCCTCCTCGTTCATATCCGAGGCTGTGACGGAACATAAGGGAGAAAAGATTTACAAAGATGGACGAGGAGCCGGCTGGATCCGACCAAGAGGCAGAGGCCAAACGAAGGCAAAGGCAGCTGCACTTTCGCACCACAGACAAAACAAAGCGGACCAAGGTAAGGGCCAGGGAGCTTTAGGAGACTGCAGTCTTCCCTCCCAGGAGGAAGAGGAAGAGACTGGATTTACACCCCGCCCTTCACTACCCAAAGGAGCCTCAGAGCGGCTTACGATCTCCTTTCCCTTCCCCTCCCCACAACAGACGCCCTGTGTGAGGTAGGTGGGGCTGAGAGAGCTCTTTCGAGGACTGCTCTTGAGAGAACAGCTCTGAGAGAACTTGTGACTGACCCAAGGTCACACCAGCAGCTGCAGAAGAACACCACAACAAAGACCGGCTGGGCCCCAGATGTCACTCAGAGTGGCCGCTGAAGGGTCCTTTCCCCTGCCAAAAGGAGGCGTGGCTCCTAGCAGTCTAGACTGCAGCACGCCGGTGTCAGAAGGGGGTTGCTCTGGAGAAGGGGATGGCTGTCCTTAGGATTGCACGGCGGGTTGTTTTAATCCCTCAGAAACTGACTTGGACCAAACTTGGCTATGGCTGCAGCAGAGTTAGGATTCCCTGAGGAGAAGCCAGAAGGGGCTAATTTGGGAGATGTACACCCCGCCTTCTGATCAGAAGGCGGGGTGTACATCTCCCAAATTAGCCCCTTCTGGCTTCTCCTCAGGGAATCCTAACTCTGCTGCAGCCATAGCCAGGTTTGGCTTCCACACCCCAACTTTCTGAATGCAGTTCTGTTCCATCAGCAGGTTGCCTCCCGTTTTCATTTCCAAAGAAAGGCCAGCCGGGAGGGAAGAGGAAAGCAGGTCTCCACCATAGCTTGTGTCCAGCACCTGGTGGACAGAGGAGGAACTGCCTCGGAACATGGAGGTTCTATTTACAAGACACGGGTACCTGCCATAGATAGCCCTATCATCAGGTATGAACTGGTTTAACCCTACAACCTTCCGGAGGCAAGGGCTCTGAGCTCTTGCAACTCTATATCAATAAGGCTCTGTTTAAGCAGAGTAAAGACCTCAAGCTCTGACCGGATGACAAGGTCACTCAGGTTAAAACCAATAGAAGTGATTTTCTAACTCATTTATGTCAGATCCGGCCCTCTTAACAAATGAGTTCGACACCCTTGCTTTATGACTTCTAGCGTCATGGGAGCGGGTGAAAAATTCTCCCATTTGTAACTCCACAGAAGATGAAGAAGAAGAGATTGGATTTATACCCTGCCCTTCACTACCCAAAGGAGTCGCAGAGCGGCTTTACAAACTCCTTCCCCTCCCCACAACAGACACCCTGTGAGCAATGTTCCCTCTATGCTGTGGAGTCTCGAGAGCAAATATTGGCATTAAAATTGTGAGCAAGTGATTTGTCTACTGCATAAGTTAGTTTGCTCTGGAGCCCTCCTTCCTGAGCTAAGATAAAAATGTGTAAGCCGCAGGCTAAAAAACTGTGAGCTAGGTCACACCCACTCAGCTTAAAGGGAGAACTGCCTGTGAGGTAGGTGTGGCTGAGAGAGCTCTGACAGAAACGGCTCTTTTTCAAGGACAGCTGTGCCAGAACTATGGCTTGCCCAAGGTCATCCAGCAGGTGCGAGTGGAGGAGTGGGGAACCAAACCCGGTTCTCCCAGATTAGAGTCCACGCACTTCACCACTACGCCAAACCACTACACCATAAACTCCTATCGTGCCCTCTCCTTAGATGCCGTTTCTTAAACAGCCCAAGTCAAGTTTAAATGGCTCAAACTACAATGTTGCCCAGAAAGCAACGCAAAGCCAATGCAGGTGCTGGAATACACATGGAACGGATGCTGCACAGTCAAATCCTGCACTTCAAGTCTTCAAGGGCGGCCCCACGCAAAGCGCACTGCAACCAGCAAGCCTCAGGTGTAAGGAAAGATGGATTAGGAAAGGACATCAAATGCAGAGACGGCTGTTTTTAACACAACTGAGCAACTGATGTGCGCCCTCCTGGTGGTTCTTACCTCCCTGCTCGTGGCCAGGACAGACGGCTGGGAACCCGGCGAGAGGATCCGACGAGGAGCTCCGACAGGCAGATTTTGGCCCTGGGGGAGCTGGATCGACTGCGGCAAAATCAGGGGCTGCTGACCAGAACCGTAACGGGGCATCGGGAGCTGGGAGCCAGGCATCGGCATCGTGAGCTGCATGTTAATTGACAGACAGTTATGGGAGGAGGTGCCGCAACGGGAGTGCTTAAACTGTGGAATTCGCTGCCAGAGGATGTGGTGACGGCCACAGGAAGGAACAGCTTTAAAAGGGGATTAGATAGATACGTGGAAGGTTTATCTCCCCCACCCGTCCACAGCAAAAATATAGCAAATTGAAAGACAAAACAAAACCTGATCATTTGTAACTAGAGATGTGAAGACCCGGAAAAAAACGGAAAAATTTGGGGGAAAACCGTTTTTTCCCCTGTTTTTTTCCTGAAGCCTTTTTGTTTTTTCCCAAAAAATTGGAAAAATTGAAAAAAGGAAAGAAAAGAAAAAAAATTGATTATGGAACGTTTTATTTTAACATGATGAATAAAATATTTTAAGACCAGGTGTTCAAATATTTTCCAAATCATTTCTAAAATATATATATATGGTATCAGATTGATTGAAAATAAAAAGGTTTCAGTTTTGTTTTTGCATGTGGGTGGGTATTCTGTTTGTAATAATTGTTTGGATACACTATATTTTTAATATGCTAGTTGTGATAATTTCATGCCAAGTAAAAATGTCCATAGTCATATTTTATGTTCCTAAAGTAACAGAATGACTTTCAAACTAGAAAAGACAAAAGAAATGCTAATGTAGCATTTTTTTCCATTTTTCCGAAAATTTCCGTTTCCCCCCGAAAAAAACCCGGGGAAAAAATGGTTTTTTTTCCGAGCTTCAAAATTTCCGGAAATTTTACATCTCTATTTGTAACCCTGTAATGGTACTCAGAAACAATGTACACAGGTCCAGGTATGTAGTGATTTTTTTGTGAACCGTATAAAGAACTCCTGGTCGCTAATTCCATTCTCATCCTAGCTAGTCGCTGTAAGATTGAAGACCCTGCATGACTTCTGTGCTTTGTAATGATGAGAGGATTCAGCCCCAGGCTCAGCTTCTCAAGTTTCTCCCAGCTGCATTTATTTACAAGGCTCTCTCAGGACAAAAAAGGCCCAAAGAATAAGCCGTGCACCACCCTCTCTTAAATTATCTTCAAGCATTTAGTATCACACTTTCAAAGCTCCGTTATGGTTCTATCCCCGAAAGCGAATCAATAGATCTTCAGAGGAGCCAAAGAAAGCATGCTGGCCATCACAGCTGGATCCATTACACCTCTTTGAGCCACATTTCAGAAGGCAAATGAGAAGCAGCTTAAGAAACGGGACTCAGCTGCTGGTGAAATGGTCTACACTGGCAGGCCCTGGTGTGCGGATACCATGAATCGCAGGTAGGCCTTTTAGCTGACGGTCAAGTGCAAGAAATCCCACCTGTTCTGCGGACATCCAAAATGTCACCACTGGGGATGGGAGGTTTGTGCTTTGGAGGTTTTCATGAACCCCAGACTATGAACTTCTCCATTGCACAAACTGGTTCGTGCTTCGGACGTTCGTCCCCGTTCCCCCCCGGAAGTGAGCCTTCAGGGCCCAACTCCAGGTCAGGTCGGCTCGACTGAGCTCCAAAGAGTGAGGTCCAAAGGCTCAATCTTGGAGCTCAGTCTAGTCGGGTGTCCCGACTCGACCGAGCTCTCAAAATGAGCCCTGAAGGCTTTTATAGGCCTTCGGAGCCCACTTCCGGGTGGAGCCTGCCCATGTAAGGACCTGACCATATAAGGGCATATAAGGCCTATAAATGCCTTCAGAACTCACTTGGGTCAGGCGGTCATGGGCCAGTGGTGAACTCCGACGGCATTTAAATGCATTTGGAGCTCACTTACGAACCCGCCCACGAACCTCCATGAAAACACGGAGGTTCATGGGTGGCTTCCGTGGGACGAACCAGTCTCCCAAACCCCTGGTTTGTCCTTCACGAACTGGCCCGGTTTGTGCCGAACCGGGGTTTGTAAATGTTTCGTGCCCGCTCCTCGTCGCCACCAAAGACCAGCTAAGCTGACTGGAAAGACATAGCTCTCTGCCTCAACTTCTAATTCTGCTCCCCCCTCCCCCAATTTTGAGAGAGCAGAGAAATGTAAAAGACCAGCACAGGAGACAGAGAGATTGCAGTGTGACCCCTCTCTGTTGAAGACACAAGACCTTTGCGCCAGTCATGAGAACTCTACACTGAAGTTCTCTACACCGAAGTCCCATTACTCAGCATGCTTCATTTCTTTCTAGAAATGGACACAATCCAGAAGTAGTTTACGCTCTTGCTTCTTAGCCTAGAGCAGGCGTGCCCAACCTGCAGGCACCTCTGGAATTCTAACACAGGGTTAGTATGGGCAACGCCCCCTCTCTAAGCTGTGGAGTCTCGTGAGCAAAAATTCTACTTTGTGAGCTACTGGCATGAAAGCTGTGAGTGAGCGATTTGGCTACTGCATGCGTCAGTTTGCTCCGGTGCCCTCCTTCCTGAGCGAAGACAAAACTTTGTGAGCCGGAGGCTAAAAAACTGTGAGCTAGCTCACACTAACTCAGCTTAGAGGGAACACTGGGTTATGGGCACATCCTCAAAATGGCTACCATGGGCGGTGGAGCCAGTTGCAAAATGTTAGGGAATGAGATTATGTGTAAATCGTATCACTTCACCTTGTGGAGGAAAAGAACTCTCGGACATCTATAGTATGGATACACAGGGCTCAGGGGCTGATAGAGGCAGGACAGATCAGGTATCCCGCATTACCTTAGGGAACAGCAGGTTAGGGACCTGTGAGGGGATCGAGGCCAATATCCCAAGAGACAGCCAACCCTATTTCAATACGCTAAGTTTCTTGGGTTTAAGGAAGAGTCACCCTAGGCAATGCTCCCGCTAAGCTGTGGAGCCTTGTGAGCAAAAATTCTACTTTGTGAGCTAATGGCATTAAGTTGTGAGCAAGCGATTTGGCCGCCAAATGATTTAGTTTACTCTGGAGCAGTTCCGCAGGGCCTGCAAGATGGAGCTCTTCCACCAGGCGTTCAATTAGGAGCCGTCCCGGGGCGGGGGGAGAATGCCCCGCCCCTGGAAATCTTAAAGCAGCCTGAGCCACCCATACAACATTAGATCGGGATCGACCATTAGGATGGCACGGAAGTCTGACCGCCATCTTAGACGTAATGTTAAATCGATATCTGTTATTGGAAACTGGATTATAATCATTAGCACCTTTTAATATTGTTATTGCTATGGTTGTAAGGTTGCTATTTTATGCACTGTAGTTTTTATGTTGTTGTAAGCGCGGTGGCTCAAGTGGTTAAGACGCTGAACTGCAGGCTGTGGAAGGTCGGTAGTTCAACAGTTCAAGACCCGGGTGCCGCATGACGGAGTGAGCTCCCGCCTCTAGTTCCAGCTCCTGCCAACCTAGCCGTTCGAAAGCAAGAAATGGCAAGTAGATAAATAGGTACCACTTTGGTGGGAAGAAAACAGTGTTCTGTGCGCCTCGGTGTTTAGTCATGCTGGCCACATGACCACGGAAAACGTCTTCGGACAGCGCTGGCTCTTCGGCTTGGAAACGGAGATGAGCACCGCAACCCTAGAGTCGGATTCGACTGGCTTTCGAGCAAGGGAAACCTTTACCTTTACTTGAAGCAGCCCTGAGCCGGCCATGGCTGGGAGGGCGGGGGATAGATAGATAGATAGATAGATAGATAGATAGATAGATAGATAGTTTTTAAGACGGGCAAGTGCTGACCTGCGTGAGCTGCGAATCCATCATCTGTGAAGCTCCCATCCCGGGCGCCTGGTTTATCTGGCCCTCGTAAACCAAGGCCTGGCTTCCATTCACCGTCTGGTAAGGAGATCCCGATTGCGTTTTCACCATCTCCAAGGGCTGCATGCCCGGAAAGGCGGAATAGGGGGGCTTAAGGGCAGTGCCCCCTGTCAGGACCATGGTGCTGGGCTGGGACAGGCTGGGGTGCATGTAGACCTGAGACCTACAAAAGACAAACACACACACACACACAACGGGACTCAACACTGAGGGCTTAAATTCTGCATACCGATTTAGCTCCGGGATCAGCCAGATGAGGTTAAATCAGAAAACCGAACCCAGAATGCCTTGGAACAAAAGTCATTTCGCCCACCAGGGGAGTCGCCGGCCTTCACAGGGGTTGCCCGGAGATCTCCTGGAATGACAACTGAGCTCCAGACTAGAGCGATCAGTTCCTCCGGAGAAAAGGGCTGCTGCTTTGGAGGGCTGAATCTATGGCAACGTAACTCACTGGGGTCCCTTCCAACGTTCCCTCTAAGCTGTGTAGTCTTGTGAGCAAAAATTCTGCTTTGTGAGCTACTGGCATGAACGTTGTGAGCAGGTGACTTGGCTACTGCATAAATTGGTTTGCTCTGGAGCCCTCCTTCCTGAGCGGAGACGAAAATGTGTGAGCTGGAGGCTCAAAAACGGTGAGCTAGCTCACACTAACTCAGCTTAGAGGGAACATTGGCTCCCTTCCCTCTACAACCCCTCCCCCCCCAGGCTTCACCCCCAAGATCTCCGGGAATGTCCCAAGCTGGAGTTGGCAACACTACACACTTGCCCTCGGTTCTCAGTGGGGCGGTTAATCAACCTATTTGGGCTGAACGTCCCCTTCCCACGCAAATTCTTTTCCATCGAGCACACTGGAGAGGTCAGGGACCGGATCGAAGTTTCATCCTCTGGGTTTAAGTCTCCCAGCGCAAGACTAGAAGGTCCAGCCCCCGATGACGGGAGGGGGACCCCCAGCGGAGCCCGGTTCTGTTACCTGAAGGGCTGGATGGAGCTGTAGATCTCCTGGGACTGGGACACCGGAAGGCCCCCCCTCAGTCCCAGCTGAGCTTGAGCTTGCAGCGACGTGTGGAGCGACAGCGGGATTTGCTGAGCAGCAGCAGCCTGTGGGGTGGGGGTGGGGAAATAAAACAAGCATTCAGAACCAAAAGGCACAAGGGTTTTTAACAAAAAAATCAGAGAATCCTAACGACCCTTCCTACAACTTTACAGCAGCATTTCCCAAACTGCCGAGTGCTGCCTGGGACCTCCATTTCTCCCATCAGAGGCAAGCTGTGAAAAGAGTAGGCAGAGCGCTCAAATAAGAACACCAAGCCACTGTAGATCTGTTTTGTGTGAGCAACCAAGCCTTGTCCTAGCTCATTGTCGACCCAGCGACTCGAAAGCTTCGGCGAGTAGATAAATTGGGGACCACCCGTAAGGGGGTGGGCACACCCCTCCCTTCGGGAAGGTGTTAGCTGCCGAGGCAACTTCTGAGGCGTGGCGACCGGAAAGACGAAAGAGCTGTGTCGGCTTCCCTGCAGTGGAGCGAGTCGGCCAGGCAGTGTCAGTGTGTGGCTGCACAACATCAAGAAGCCAGACGTCATCAGCCACCCGACAAGATGCCGTAGAAACACGATTGACCCAGCCCGCAGATGAAGCCCGGCTAGCTGCAATGTGTGTGTAATTAATGCTGTATGTTTGTCTTCCCTATCCCCACCAAATATTGTTAGTCCAACTGTCTCAAGAGTAACTGTAAATCGCTCTGAGCCCGCAGGTATGTGGGAAAGAGCGATCAATAAATCGGAAGCATTATTATTATTATCATTATTATCATTATTATCATTATCATTATCATTATTATTATTATTATTATTATTATGCCTGCATCTGCGGCTGAACGACCCGACTGCACGTGAGCTGGAAGCTGTGGCAGGATGGAGGGGAAAAGACTGTGCACTGTCCTAAACTCTTTGAAAGAACAATAAAAACAGATCTGACAGGCTGAGCTTCCTTCCCCACCATCCTCCCCACCCCCTTTCAGTGAAGGCCATTCTGAAGGACTGAGAGAACTGAAACATGCAGTGGGGTCTGTGTCAGCCTCACCAGGAGCCACTGATCAATTTCTCATCATGGCCAACTCAAGCTGAAACCCTGCAGGCCCTGATGTCTCAAAAGCAGGCAGGACAGCAAACCGGGAGGGAAGCTTGCTCCTCCCACGGGGCGGGACCAAGCGCTTTGTCATTTACATAGCCCGGCCTCCAAAGCAAGGGGGAGGAGCCCTCAGCTCCTGGATGACTTCCGACAATGGAACATTTCTGGATATGGGGCTATTTTTGGGCAGGAACGCACAGGAACGGAGTTCCGGCTGGCTCCTGAGTTGGCCACGCCCGGCAGGAACCTCATTAGCATAATAGGCCACACCCAACAGCAGAAACTCATTAGGATTGGCTACATTAGGGGTGTGTGGCCTAACATGCAAAGGAGTTCCTGCTACAAAAAAGGCCCTGGGTTTTGACAACAAACAAGGTAAACAGAATAAGAAGCGAAAGGTGGGTGTGGCTGGATGACCACACCTCTGGTAACACGGGGGTGTGGCCTAATATGCTAATGAGCTGTGCTGTCAGGGGTGTGGCCCAATAGGCTAATGAGTTCCTGCTGGGCGTTTTCTACCAAAAAAGCCCTGATGGTGGTGGTACGTGTGCCATCTAGTGGCCGCCGACTTATGGCGACCGTGTAGGGTTTTCAGGGCAAGAGACGTTCGGAGGTGGTTTGCCACGGCCCGCCTCTGCGTAGCAACCCTGGGCTTCCGCGGTGACCTCCCCTCCAAATATGAACCAGGGCCTACCCTGCCTAGCATCCGAGATCTGATGAGACCGGGCTAGCCTGGGCTGTCTAGGACAGGGCAACTTTCCCAGGGAAGGCTGGGATCGTCCACATTCCATTGGTGTATCTCTTTTGAGTTTTGGGACACTCGCAGACTTCATCTTCGGGCAGCTGGCATCCGGACGTGAACGTCAACACTCCCTGCCACCTACACACACACCGAGGGGACGGGCGCACCAACTCACCTGTTGGTAGCTCTGCTGCTGAGGTATTGTCTGGGGGACGAGGCGGGGCTGGCTCGCGAAGACGTGCCCATCTAAGTAAAGGGGTGGGATGTGGTTGCCTGGAATGAGGGAACGGAAAAGGAAGAAGGCACGGCATCAGAGGTCATTTCGGGGGGGATTGCGGGGGATCGCAGTTCCCCCGGGTGAGGTACGGGGGGTGGGGCACATGACGAAGCCCCGCCCCCTGCTTCCGGCCGCCCCGCTTCCGGCCCTCATTCAGCCAGGAGGAGGCAGGAGAAGAGGGAGGGTAAGTTGCTTCCTCCCTGCCTCTCCCCATCCCTGCCTGCCTGGGGCCAGGGAGGGCCTTCGCGGGGCTTCCTTGCACTCCCGCCGGCCTTGCAGGTCCACCGCCGGGCCCCTCATGGGGCTCGGCAGTGGAGCTGCAAGGCCGGCGGCGGCGGCCGGGACCGTTGGGGGCGGGGTGTGTGGCCTTATGACACACTTCCGGTGATGTCAGGGGGTGTGGCCTTATGAGACACTTCCGGTGATGTCAGGGGGTGTGGCATATGCTAATGAGTTATGCTAATGAGTCCCCCTAGCTCTTTTTCTACGAAACGACCCCTACACGGCATGAATCGCGTTCATGCTGGAAGAGGTAAAAACGACAAAAGAATTCAATGGTTTTCACAGAAGGGAAACCTTCCTTTTCCTCACTCTCAAATTGTAATCATGGGCTGTACAACCCCTGTATTGTTATCTACGTGCTGGAAGAGGGGCAAGTGAGACGCTTGCCCAGCTATCCCACGCGTTGGGAATCCCACCCCCTCCCGAACTCCAGAACCCTGCACTTTGCCATTATGTACCTGTGTGTGTTGACAAGGAGGAGGAGGAGGAGGAGATTGGATTTATATCCCCCCCTTCACATGGAGTCTCAGAGCGGCTTAAAAACTCCTTTCCCTTCCCCTCCCCACAACAGACACCCGGTGAGGTAGGTGAGGCTGAGAGAGCTCCGAGATAAACTGCTCTTTTTCAAGAACAGCTCTGACAGAACTACGGCTTGCCCAAGGTCATCCAGCCAGGGGCAAGTGGAGGAGTGGGGAATCAAACCCGGTTCTCCCAGATTAGAGTCCGCGCACTTAACCACGACACCAAACTGGCTGATGTCAGGGTGTGTGGCATATGCTAACGAGTTATGCTAATGAGTTCCCCTAGCTCTTTTTCTACAAAATGACCCCTGGTAAGTGCACTATACACCGTTCCCAAAACACAAGCCTCAGATACAAGATGCCATCCCGAGAGACCCAAAGAACCCCTTCCTGTTTCTTAACTCGGGTATTTCTTCCCAGACTGGTGAGTGAGGCGTCAGTCAAGTCTCTCAGTCGGAGAATCTCTTCACGCCCTCCTGCTGGGGAGTGCTCAGTAGGATCCATTGGAAACATCACAGAGACGACTTCGGAGCCACCTGCCTTCGGCAACAGGCCGATCACACACTAGCCATCCACTGGGGTCTCGCTATAAAATGCCACTACCGGAGTTCAAAATGGGATCGGCCTTCCTGCTATCAGTGGCAGGCTGTCAGCGATGAAGGGACCGGTGCACACGGCACAAGAACAGGACAATGTGGCAAATGTGGGGTGAATCACACAAGATCAGGAAGCAATTCTTCTCCAGGCCAGTTTGGCTGGAGATCCTGGAGGTTTTTTGTCATCTTCTAGGCACTGGGGGTGTGTGTGGGGGGGGAGGTATTTGTGAATTCCCCACATTGTGCAGGGGGATGGACTAGGTGACTCTGGAGGACCCTTCCAACTCTATGATTCTATGATTCTAGGTCCAGAACTTTCAGTAATGAAAGGCAAGTTTATAACCTCTATGAACACAGAGAAAAAAACTCACGTTATCTACACAAAAGCCAGAGACAGGAAGCTAGGCAGACTGGCTAGTGGGGTCCAGGGATGGACCTCCAGTACGGTCTGCCACTTTTCTTGCTATTCACACCAGTTTGGTGCAGTGGTTAAGTGTGCAGACTCTAATCTGGGAGATTAGAGTCCCAGATTAGCAACATTCGTCTTCCTGAGCCAATCCTTATGCTGCTGTGTCTTAAATGATGAAGCGGATGAGATGCATGGTCCAGGAAATTTGCTGATGCAAATCCCACTTTGCTCAGGAACTCACCCAGTGGCCCTTGGCCCAAATCCCGTCTCACTCACGAACTCCCTAGGTGGCCGCTGGCAAGGCACGGTGTCGCCACCCCCCCCCCACCCCCACCCCTTTGTAAAAGACAATATCTGGTGTACAAAGGAGAAGAGAAGACCCTGAAGGGGGCAGCAGGAAGACAATTAAATAAGATAGTGAAGACAGCACCTTCTCTCTCCTGTTAAGTGCTATTACTCGTCTCCAGATAACTACTGTTAAGGCAATTTCCCCTTTCTCCTCAGAAGTCTCTCTCTCTCTCTCTCTCTCTCTCTCTCTCTCCTCTTAGGGCAATTTCCTCTTTCTCCTCAGAAGTCCTTCACTCAGTCTCTCCTCCTTCCTCTCAAGTATGTTAGTTCCTAAATAAAGTTTTTGTTGTTGTTCAGTCGCACAGTCGAGTCCGACTCTTTGCGACCCCATGGACCAGATCACGCCAGGCCTTCCGGTCTTCCGCCGTCCTCTGAAGTTGGCTCAACTTCATGTTCCTTGTATCTATGACACGGTCTAACCATCTCATCCGCCGTCTAACCATCTCATCTTCTTTGACCTTCAATCTTTCCCAGCATCAGGGGCTTCTCCAGGGAGTGCTCCCTTCTCATTGGGTGGCCAAAGTTAAAATAAACTTTTATCTACTCTTTAATCAGGTTGTGCACCGTTGCTGTGCTATTGCTCTGCCAACACCGACAGCGATAAAGGGATAAGAATACTGGCCTAACCTTTACAGGGTTATCATGAAGAGAAGCATGATAACAAACATGCAGCATTTTGAAAACTAAACACACTATATGAACGCTAAGTCACATTATAATTGTTAATCGGAGTGTAAAATGTGGACCATACACAGTAGAATTTTTACTGCAGGGAGGAGAGAGAATCGTTGGTTGCTGGGCAACCTTACCAGACAGTGGTCCTTTCCGCACTTGGATCTCATCTCTGGTTCTATCAAGAATTTTTACTGCAGGGAGGAGAGAGAATTGGTGGATGCTGGGAAATCTTAACAAGCAAGTGGTCCTTTCCGCGCTTGGATCTCATCTCTGGTTTTATCTGAGTTCAACTCGCTAGTCGCTACACAATACCTTGCATTTATCCCTGGTTATAACAGCATCCGTTTATCCTGGGACAAGTGTGGGGCGAAACTGGGGTGTCCTCAATGTAACGTGGAAACAAAAAATAACCCCGAGATAATTACAGGGACGAACTCGAGTGGAGTGCAGAATGTAAGTTCGGGGACAGGGATGATTTTGCGGTCTAGTGCAGAAAGGACCAGTGAGTGATATACCTGGAATCGAAGCAGATGGTGCCACGGAGGCCACGGGCATTGGTGGCACAGACACGCCGCCAAAGGAGCTGTAGCTGACCCCGTTGGAAGCCCCGACACTGGAAGGAGGCTGGATGCCAGAACCGGCGCCTCCGGGAGAGCTCTGTTCCGGTAGGCTTGGAGAGTTCTCCCAAGCTTTACGTGCCGACTCCATCTGCAAAGAGGAAGAAAAAGAGAAATCAGGGCCCGAGGCTGCCAAAAGAGAGGGGCTTGTCTTGCATCCCGTCCAGAAGCTGGTGAGCATCAACCAGGACTTGTGCAAGGCTCAAAACAGCAAACAGAACATAGAGGCATCCTTGTTATCCCAAGAGGCTTAAACCTCCGTGATAGTCTAGGCTCCAGCTTTCAATTAAAAAATTTCAATTTCCAGCTTTCAATTAAAAAATAATCCCATTTGAATTCATTCACTTCCAGGACTAGCAACGTTTAAACTTAATTCCATTTCTCGTTTTATGACTTTGAGCGTACCTTGATTCATACTTCTCACATTCCGTTTTCCGATTATGTGTACCAAACAGTTTTGGCCTTTCCTTTTGCATCCATTCACATCAACAACAGAATGTCCTTATTAAGAACGGGGCTACTCGTGCTTGTTCTCAGCTCTTCCTCAGTGGCTGATTGGAGTGCTCTCCGACTTGGGGGGCGGGGTGTGTATAATGCTCTTCCAGCATTATATCCTTTTTTCCATTTTGGATGGTCTTATCATAAGGTTTTGGCGGTATGAGATGACTTATTCAAACATCTGCAATTACTTGTGCTTAGATGTTTCTTTTTTTATAGCAGTAGAAAAGAGCAAGAGTCCAGTAGCACTTTAAAGACTAGCAAAACATGAGCCACAAATTTTGTTAGTCTTTAAGGTGCTACAGACAGACTAACACGGGTGCCCATCTTGGTCTTTTTTTATAACCTGCTATGCTCAAAGAGGAGCTGCGGTGGCTCAGGTGGTTAAGACGCTGAACTGCAGGCTGTGGAAGGTCAGTAGTTCAGCAGTTCGAGACCCGACTGTGCCGCATGACGGAGTGAGCTCCCGTCTCTAGTTCCAGCTCCTGCCAACCTAGCAGTTCGAAAGCAAGAAATTGCAAGTAGATAAATAGGTACCACTTCGGTGGGAAGGTGACAGCATTCCGTACGCCTTGGTGTTTAGTCATGCCGGCCACATGACCACGGAAACGTCTTCGGACAGCGCTGGCTCTTCGGCTTTGAAACGGAGATGAGCACCGCAACCCTAGAGTCGGATTCGACTGGCTTTCGAGCACGGGAACCTTTACCTTTACCTTATGCTCAATGAGCCTCAAGGCTGTTTCGTATGGACTGCAGACGTCCTACCCCCCAGCCTGACACAGAAGTTCTGGTTCCAACACGACACTTTGATCAGCTCTTCCTCCTCCTTAAAATGTCACTTCCCCCCCACAGAGTACATGTAGCCCCTTGCTCAACAGTCGAGGGGCCCTGGTTCCAAACCCCGTCATGGTAACAGAAGCTGGTAATTCTTTGAAGACCCATGTCTCACCTGGCTCCTGTAAGATTTGGATCTTAAGGTGTTTACAACTGCCATCTGCTCCCCTTACGCTGCTTTTCGGCTGTACTCTCAAGCCATAACTGGTAAACGGCTGGATTCTTGTGGCAGTGACATTTCCCTTCCCTTGAAAACTCGCATGCAAAGCTTTTGCAAGGGCCCAGCAGACATGGGCTCTGGTTCATACCTTTACTCATGCAGGCCAAACCCCTTTGTTTTTAAGAATGACACCTTTCCAACATGGCTTGCTTCTCAGCATTCCCCGCCCGCCCCCCCGCCAATAAATACAAATATTGCAACTCTGCATTTTTGCTCCTGGGACCGAATCTGAATTCTAA